CAACATACAATTTTTATATACAATTTGCATTTAAGTACAATGTATGCGGTTTGGATACGTTATCTGAAAATTGGTAAAGAAGAAAAAATTCAAATCCACTATTGTTGCTCAGTTACAACATTTTCAATACCCGTAAGTACCTATATTTACAGCTCAACGCTTGGTTTTGTAATAAAACTGCCATGAAATATGGCTTTGATACATTTCGGCGAACCATTTAGCTGTTTCTAGAGCTGGCAATATAGAAACGGTCCTTACTACTTTACTAAAAGGTTATGAACTATTGGTTTGGATGGATTCACTACGGTAAACAGAATTCGGCTTTCGCGTCGCTTTGTCTTTGTATACTAAGGCGTTAGTTACAAGATCGAGTCTTTGTGTACGTCGGAGGCGATGTTAGAAAGTAATAGTAATAAGTATCTTATACTTCCAAGCGACTTATTTATACAGATGTTTTGATGCGATGAGCGTAACTACAAAAGAATAAAACAGTACCTAAGCAACGCCTTCTTCAACGTCTAGTATAAAAAAAAGCTAAAAGTAAACTTACAAGTTGATTTATTAAATGTGATTTATGAATTAATAAAACACAAGATTATTCACAATATACAATATTATGAACGTATGTATGACTCGTTTATTTACTAACGTATAAAATGACGATTAAATACACGTGACGACACGTGAGCGTGACCAATAACTACTCGTTGATTTCTGCTATAAAATAAGAACATGAATAAAGTTATAAGTAAAAAATTTTTCGATATCGATTTCGATTATTTACCTACCTATGTTATTTCTTTAATTTAATTAGGAAGTAGTAGTATAACTCTCTATTAATATAATAAAGAGGGAAGATTTGCTTGTTTGTTTGCATTTAATAGACTTTCATACTACTGGGCTGATTTTAAAAATTCTTTCACCTACGGGAATCTGTATCATACGCAAATGGCATAGGCATTTACGTGGGCGAAGTCGCGGAAAAAATAGCGAAATTCAAATTATTAACACTTAATGTTTCGTGCTTTAAAAGCAAATGAACAGTATCAGAAATTCAATACAATTTATTTGTATTATAATCATCATTATTATTTACAAACGTTTTATTTTAACGCATTTGTGTTCGTTCAAAATGGCTGCAAAATGAAAGGTCAACGACAATCATCGTTAAAAACAAATTATACACACAACACTATATTTATTACACACAAGGATTATCCAAATGTAATCAAGCTCAAGGTTGATGTATAATTTTTATATTTTGAACTCCTTGGATTTCAATTTATAAGATAAATTTTCTAATTGTTATTTGCGATAAATTTTGCATTCACTATTGTATATTTTATTTTATAGGCTTTATTTTAGTTTTATAACTCTTCTGTTTATTAATAAATGTTGAAAGTAGAGATATCAAACCTAAACATGCCATAAAACGAAATGAAAGTTAATTTGCAAGAGAATAAATATATGGTTTTGCAAAAGAAAGGACACAGACTCTGATGAATGTCCTATCAACACATAAGTACGGCATTTCAAATTAACAATATCATTACTGTCAAATTTCATCGAAATTCGAGACAATTCCTTTTTATTTACTATACCTATTTATCGAACTATATAAAGTTGAAAAGGATTTATTCCATTCCTTATTCCATTCCATACTCTCAGAAAAAGAGATCATAACGCAATCTTTTCCCTACCATAAAACGTTTTAGTTACATGTTAGTGCATTTTAGTCTAAAAAAATAAGTAGCTATAAATACCAAAGTATATTTAAAATAATCCTTTTTGATTTAAACAGCTATTTAAACGAACTGTCGTTCCAGATATAGTATCTAAACGAGTTTCGGTAATCGAGGGCAGCACCTAATGACTGTTGCTCGGAACACCACCTACGTTTGTATGGTAAAGCTTATTTATAAGGCTATTGCTTCAACATTACCCGTGGGAGATGACTCATGATATTCCGTCATTTGTTGTTAAGGTATTAGCAGTGATAAAATAGTAACTTATAAGACTTATTTGATTTTACCTCTGTGGTTTGACAGCGCTGTTTTTATAACTAAATAGCACAGCAAGTGTATTATTTTATTTGGATATAGTTACCGCCGACGGCTCAATGAAACCGGATTTTTACTGAATATTTTGTACTCTTTTATATCTCGGACTTTATATTTATAGTTATATTCGATGAACAAAATATGTTGAATTTTTAAGGTTCAAATAATTAGAGCAAACATAGTCTATTTGCTATGCCATCCAAATATGAACGCCCTAGGCGGTTGCCTACTTTGCCCAAATGGACTGGCCGGCCCTAGGTATAATAATGTTATCTTCTAGTTTCAAATAGAAAACCTTTACATTGAATGATATTATTGTGATTATTCAAAATTAATTCATAAATATGACAATTAACATGTTTATTGTTAAAACGTGGTTAAAACTATTAGTGGCAAAACTTACTAATTTTTGTGCTATTATAAAATGTTTTATTTGAATTTATAAATAATAGTTTTTGTTTCCCAAATATAATAAGAATAAAAAGAATAAAGAAGATTGAAGGAGGCCTACACTATTATGGTTGAAAATGGTCCTTTATAAAATAAGTTCGCTCAACCGGAAATAAAATCAATACAAAATGTAACTTTTTCTTTGAATTCATTTCTAAATAACTCAACAGGTAAGTCAGATAAGAGTTGTATAAATATTATGACCGTGACATTATGAGCATTGTAAACAGTAGTAGTGATATTTTCCTAGCGGGCAACTAGCCAGATGATTACTATACAATTTGTAAATAGAAACAAATGCGTGTTCATACACATATACACCTGTTATTTGTATCTTAATGTTCATTTTCGGGGGTATTTATATCGAATATTAAGGATTTTTTATATTATATTCAAAATTTTTTTTGTTATTCAGTTATATTTCTATATGGAGCGACGAAAATAATATACACTATAAATATATTATTGGATGCGGAAGTGTCTGTGTTATGAAAATTAGAAAAACTGTACCTAATGCATTGAGAACGCTATATCGATATTAATCTATACTAATAATAAGTCTTATAAAAAGCATAGATTTGGTAGTTTTTTATTTATTATTTGTATTCAATAGTCTCTGAGCTATGTTCTATGTCTCTGAGACTACTGAACGAATTTTACCTACGAAAAATTCTCGGGAAATCAGCCGCAAAATATAAAATTAGTCGTGTTGAGCATAGGATGAAGACAATTTAACAATCGACAAGCGTAAATAATAACTTTAAAATATAAAAACCGTGAAGCGTTATCTGAAATGAGCGAGACAAAAATTCAACAGTTACCAAGTCACGTACAAAAACCAACACGACTAGTTAACGTTGGTTACGTAACCATGTCGTCTGTTTGTCCTATTGACTATTTGTAGATCTGCAGATGGATCTATATTTCTAGTTGGTAAATCTTAAAAGGAGGTGTAAACCCCAAACTTGTATTATAGAAATCTGAAACAACTAAGTTATCACAACATCCAGATCCGAGGAAAGATAGAAAATCTGTTTTCTTCATTGACTCGACCGAGAATCGTTTTCAGAACGCAGAAATGACGACCTTGACACCGACATCCGAACCGCGCGACCACAGAGGTGATATATCTTTATGGGTAATATTATGAAGGAGGTAAGAAGTGAAAATGACAGCTATTGAAGAATAAAGCTACACCAAATAAGAATAAATGGTTTTTTGAATAAAAACTATAAAAGATATGCGAGTCTATATACTCTGTAAAACTAGTATGACATGTCGTATATTTTTTTTAACTACTGGTAATTCAACAATTTCAGATAATAAACATTAGTTTTTTTTATTATCTTTAAATACATTATTCGCAACATTAAACGGATTTTATGTATGGCCGTAGCTAGTAACAATTTCTTATTTAGGATAATCTCACATTAATATTTTACGGATGGAATGTCTTCCTTCAGAATTTCTTTATTCGTTTATTCTTATGTCCTGTTATTTTTTACTGCACTTAAGTATATAGCCACTTAAGTAGGTAAATAATTTTGATTGCGAATTACCGTTACTTAATAATATACAAATCTCGAAGAAAAAAAATAAATCAAAGAATAACAGTTAAAACTTCTTTGAGATATATTCATCACATTTTATATTTACTCCAAAAATTTTTAAGACAATAACATCTTGTTGACTGAACCTGATAATAATGTCAAGATAACATTACGAAACAACAAGATAAAAATAGGCTCAAAATTCTAACAAAACTCAGTAACGTCCTGAATGGCATATTCAAAATACAGTGTTTATTTAAACAAGTGGGTCATCAAAACACGAATGTATGATGCTGAATTAATAATCATATAATACTCATTTTCTATTAATAATAACTTATTTCATTATGACGTATCCCATAATTTTACATCCGAGAAAAACTGTTCATTTGTAATACTGTTTGTTGACATGACGCACATAAATTGAATGAATCAATGATATAACCTTGTACATACCTAGTACCTAATACTCTCATTTGCTGCATTATCATCCGAAAGAATTGTGTCACTAACAATAATAGAATACACCAATTTCAACATATCCTACGCATACACGACTACCTATTTGCTGCCGTCAATTATTGGACAATCGTTTGATTGTATTGTAATCCAAAGGAGAATAATATCGCATTTAAAAACGGATAAAATTTTCATTGAATATCAAAAGGTGTGACGAATTATACCTGAATTTCAAAGCTCTTTCTGCATTATAGTGCTTTGGGATAATACCAAAAGCAGAGAAATTCCGAAAGTGACGAATTACCACCAAATCAGGCGTTGTTTTATTATCAACTGTTGATAAAGTTAACAAATAAAAATAAACCTTTTAATAGATGGAAATACTTTAAATTAGATAGTAACAAATATTGCTTTTTTAATGTCATTATCGGAATTTTTCCGATTTCCCCAAAGCACCTTATAAAGAATTAGATTTACTCACCCACAAGTGCACATTTCGCATATGCACTGCTCCTTAGGGATATGCTCCGGTTTCTTGGGGCCGCCATGTTTAGGTCTGGTCTCATCAACAACGACGCTTTTCTCAATGATGGTCCTGTCGTCACGCACTGTCTTTCTGTCGATGGTTTCATCGTAGACGGTGCTGACGGTGGTGTCCTCTCTCCTGGTGTCAGTAATGGCTCTGTCAACCACGTCGTACTCTCGAATCACGTCTTCAGTTGTTTGGACATCTCGCTGTAAAAATGGTTCGTAATAAATCATCTAAATAAGCACTCCACTTTAATACTCAAATAAAAAACAACGCACTCACCAATTTCTCGAAGTCTACCGCACTTTTGTCGACGAAGACGTTAGTTCTAACTTTATCATCTTCTTTAGCATCCTCATACGTCGTTATCTTCCTAGTTATTCCATTTTCTGTGATGTATCGAGTGACCTCGATTTGACTAATATTTTTCTCAACTTCAAATGATTTTCTGGTTGTATCACCGGTAATCGTATTCACGACAGTTGTTTCTTCGGTGTCGATTCCCTCGTAAAGATCTTTAACATCTTCGTTAATTTTAGTCCCATACGTTACCTTACTAATTCGTTTAAATGGATATTTCTTCACAGTTTCAATTATTTCCTTCAGAACACGATCGTCAATATTCCTATTGATGACTATGTTTTTATTGCTTACCGTCACATCTTTCTTATACTGGGAAGATTCAATAATTTTACGTAAATCACTGATGGAAGTGAAATCTTTAATATCTCTAGAAGACAAAATGATATTTTCTTCAGTATCTTGACGTTTTAAGTGATGTCTTGGCTGCTCTGGTCGTCCAAAAGGGGAAGTTTCTTTTGGCTTTCTAGGTCTATCATCATCTTTTTCATACACAAATTTCCCATTCCACGTTCCTGTACTTCTCTCATATGTAGTTCTAGTGTCTTTTGTTTGCGATGTCGAAGTAGACGAACTTTCTTTTGTTAAATTTTGCTGCTCTAATTTCTCTTTCTCAGTTGTTAAGAAATCGTTAACTTTATTTACGTTAGTCTCCTTGGAATGAGATTGGAAATCGGTTGAGGTTGTTTCGTATGTTGTAGAATCAACGTTTGTGTCAGATGTATCTTGAATACGTCTGTTTAGAACATCCTCTGTATCTTTTCTATGCTCAGTGATAGCTTTTTTCTTTGTGAAATCACCAACATAAACATTACTAGTAGCTGCCACTTCTTGTCCATTTTTGTACAAAACGGATTCTTCAGAAAATTTAGAAGAACTTTTTGGAATGCCATCTTTGCCAGTATCATAATGAGATTCTTTGTCAAGAACATGCCTAGAGTATTCACTTTCAGGCTTTCGATTCGTCCCATGCACATTATGAGCTTTTTCATAAGTAGCATGTTCTTTGCTATCTCCCCATTCTCTATGAGAACTGTCGACTACTACTTCTTTACCATCGACTACTTCAAATACGTATGATGAACTAGACGCCTGTTGAGCACTGCTAGTATTACTTTTCAAAATTTTTGTTGAAAAATCAATGTTTTGTGTGTCATTGACTTGAAGAACTTCACCAACCTTTTTTAGTTGATTCTGTATAGTAGCATCATAACCATAGAAGTTAGATGAATCAGTGTTGTTTGTGCCCAATCTTCGATCAGAAACTATTTGTTTATTGCTTTTGATTTCATTTACATTTTTGTCCGTTCTGTTAACAGTATTGGAACTGTACGTGTCGTTTGTGGTAGTAGTAAAACGTTGTTGGTCTTGAATAGAATGATGGTCTTTATTTGATGAAATCTGTTGTTGTTTATAGTTGTCTTTCTCTGTGATAACATTTTCATGAGTAGAAACTTCTTTTCCATCCTTGATAAGCTTAGATTGTTCCTTCACTGTCATTCCACTTGTTGGTTTCTGACCACCTTTCCCCGTATCGTAATTAGCTTGCATATCATAACCTTGAGAACTGTATATAGATTGAGGCTTAATACCTGTACCACTGACACTGGCGTATGCTTCTGAGGAAGCCTTTTCTTGTACATCACCCCATTCTCTGCTTGAACTGTCTATAATACGTTCTTTACCATCAACTATCTCAACTACATACGAAGACGATGAAGATTTTGCAACACTACTACTTTTAGTCTCATTCGTCTGAGATGTACTAGTATATTCTTTTGTTTTGACATTTTTATCCAAGCTGCCTTCTCCTCCATAGAACTTTGAAGTGTCTGAATTAATTGATTGAACTCTTTTTGTCGGTTGCGGCGAATTAATGTAAGCAGTACGTTTTTGATTATTAGAATGGTTTGTTTGACTCATAGTTTCAGATGTTATGGTATTTGATTTTTGGGAACTTTGATTTAATAACTCTTGGCGTTCAGATTGAAGAAACGAATCAGTTGCATTGGCACCTTGCGACCTTGTTAATAACGTCGGGTGTGTATTTGATGACGATTCAATAAAAGCCGTGTTCAAGGTCTGTCCGCCAGCCGAAGAGTCGATAGATCTGTCAATTGACTGACTGTGACTTGAGTCAGAATGTTGAATAGACGTAGAAGATTGATGAGTTTCACTTTTTGAGCTCTGTTGGTGAGACGTGGAAGACTCTTGTAAAACAGAGCTGGATACAAACTCACCAGTAGTTGACTGCGCCATGTCACTAACATGGTGCTCATGTCTGGTTTGTGAGAGATCAGGTATAGAAGGTGCTTCCGTTATTATATAATGGGGATGACTATTATAACATTCTGATATAGTAGAGCCGCTTATAGAGTGATCTGTGACATCGGTTATCATTAATGGATCATCCTCCTCGACCTTTACCTCAATATAGCGAACTTTTTTACCCGTCGAGCTGGCTTTCTGCAAGGTATTGCTGGTCTGCTGCACCGTCTTCGTAGTGCTACTTTTCTGAACACTACTTGTAGATGCACTAGTAATAGACGAAGTCGATTCCGACTTCGTTTGTTTATTAGTCTTTTTATTTTTTATCGTCATATTGGTCCCACTGATTTTAGAACGTAAAACTAAAAACTAGGAGATTCTTAAATTACGATTAAATATTTGTTTTAAATAGAATAATTGCAAAGTTTTTTATCACATAATAACGTCAAAAATTGCCATGTATTGCAGGAATGGTCGCGAGAGTCGTTCGTATCGTGTGTCGCTGCGTGCGCGCGCGTCGCTCGCGACTGACTCGCGGAATCTGGCCGTGCGCTGGCGCCCCCCGTCACACCTTGACGCCGCAAGCGCAGCATTCGGTCGCCCACGAGACCTTCGAGACACGTAAGCGCTTACATCTCACTGCTGAAGTCATTCATACCAAAAATGGTTTAAAAGCTACAGTAATGACTGGACGTTTCGCGAAAATAAACATTAAATAGGTCAACCATAAGTTAAGGAAAATAATTATATTACCTAATTATTTCATTAAGAATATATTACCTACCTATCTTACTTATCTAAGTTAGCGAAGTTATAGAGATTATTAAAGTATAAAAAATAAGAAAAAAATATACAAAACAAAACGAATACCTTTATAGAGGTCGCAAATAGCTACGGACATTTTAGATTTTTTTAATCATTTGTAATTGTGGTTTCTACTTCATGATCAAGTGTCTCATATTATCTGCCGCTTATGCACTGTCCCTGCCGCTCGACAGGTGGCAAGACGGGTGTGTCATCGGACCCGCCAAGAGTCAAAGCGCAGATGACATACCTACTAAACCCCTTTCGATAATAACCGCATTTTTTGGGGAAGGGCCCGGGTTCAGCAGGGACTACTCCTTACACAGCTCCCGAAGGGGTTTAAGTTCCTAAATTTAAAATGTGGTCTTATATTTATTGACTTTATGATTGAATCTATAATAGAACTAATTGTAATAATATGTATTTTATTCTTACAGAGTTTACGGATTTGATCACTACAAGAGGCATGATAATGTCACCATTTTTTTTGGTCTAAAGAATACATTGATTTTTGAGAAACCATTTTGACTTAATTTAAAGATGGCCTTATCTGGTATAGATTAAACGAACACGCTGTTTTTCGGTTAAAATACCTATAAGGTTTTAAATAACCCCAAAGTAATGGGAAAACAAATGAATTTCGCATAAATAGCTATGTTCAACAAAAGTTTCGTACCATTTTGAAAACGGGTCATTTTTTGTGTCCCGGGCTTATCATCGGGGACAACGTGACAACAAACCAAAAAGAGGGACTGTCCCTTGGAAAAGGACGTTAGTCACATTAGGCATGTAGTAAGTGCAATCCAGTGCGTTCAATATACCAATTTCAACAGCTGAATGAAATAACAAAAGGCCCCAAATTTTATGTTGCCTATAATAAACTTGGAGAAATGAGGTGGCAACAGAGCTGACATAGAGGCTGAATAAAATCAGTTTTAAAGCCAGCCTTAATAAATGGTATTTGACTTTTTTATTTTAACATAATATTGTACAGATTTAATGATTTTCAAAAGTCTAATGGTCTTACACACGCAATAATGTTAGAATTTTCACGTGACATCTTTTTTAAAGAGTACTTAGAGTTTTTATTGCTATGTTCAAAATGCATTAAGGGAATATGTATAGATAGTTACCAATAATATAAAGGAAAAGATTCGATTGATTGTTATGTTGTATTATTTTTGCTCGTCGTGAATTAGTCTAAGGTCCTTCGTTGCAGATGTAAAAAACAATTTTCTCTCCATACACAATCTTGGATAAAACTTGTATAAAATATAATCTTTATTTACTTTATTTTCATTCTTTTGATGTATCTATCTGAATCCTTATTGCACCCATTCTGTTACTCCTCATTTATTTTTCTCTACCACCATTAATTGCCTGGAAGAAATAACTGCAAAGCAATTAGATGCCGCTTTTTGAAGGGCACTAACAAATTTCTACTCAGTGGATTCATTTAAAGGCATAGCAATTGTAACAGTGATTTATGGAATTACATAATATTTAAAATCGCAATCGTTTTTGGAATTTTGAATGATTAAGAAACAATAAAGACTTATCTAAACTCGTCGAAAGATTGCAGTTAGCAACTCTTTCGTTTGCCATTTTTCAATAGCTGTTAAAAATATTTGCGTCTGGCGCTTGCCTTAGTTATACAATTCTAATTAACGTTAAATTAACTATATAATTAAAAATATCTTTCAAAAATCACAGTAGGTGTTTGATACGCAGTTTCGTGAATATCTTTCAAACTTCAAAATAAAAGGGATTGGGGCAGATTTTAAAATTAGACTAATAGCCCTCCGGTTTAAAAAAAATCTTAGATCCGGAGCTGACTGAATTATAATACCAGAGAATGGCATTGAGCGGAATGGAATATTTTTTTAATATCTCATAACACATTACAATTATTGTAACGTTTCTCTTTATCACATCTTAGTTAAACATCATCACAACAATCGTTCGACGCCCGCTGCTGGGCATAGGTCTCCACGACGATAGGTCCTGCGCTGCCCACCTCCAGCGGCTTCCCGAGACCTCTATTAGATCGTCGGATCTACATAGTCAATCACACATTTATGGCTTTTCTTCGCGTTATTTAACAAAAGTTTTTAATTTGTATTCTTTAAATAAAATGACTTTTTATGTACAATTAAATTTGAAGTTTAAATGCACTTTTAACAATATAAATGTAAATGGAAAAGCTACATAGGTGCTTTAAATAAATACTCCATGTAAGTGGCGCAACGATTAGCATATATTTATGGTAAGGATCGCAGCCACCATCTTTGGTTAGCCTCAGTGACTCTACATAATGTGTTTGCGATGAATGCATGCCGATGTGAGTATAATGTGATCGCAATAAGTTACTTAAGTTTGATGTTACATATACAACAAATTGTACACCCTGCTCAGATAATTTTCACTAACAAAAAATCTACCAATTATTATCAGGTTAATCACCCTACGCCCTTCTATGCTCTACGAGCGATGATCAAGCTACTCCGTATTTCGGTAGACATCTTAAACCGTTAATCTGCATCAGACCGTCCATCATCAGCCCTTTTACGTCCTCATTGCAGGGACTCAGGTCTTCTTACGGATTCTCCTTGGGGATGGTTAAGGAAGATGGGCCAAAACCCTCTACGATGGCCCAATGCTGATTGGAAGATATTGGAGGGTACGAGTGCAAATGCAATCGAGACCAACAGCGCAACGTGACTACCGCAGCAAGGAGTAGATAGATAAAAATTTTTGGTTACCCATCCCGTGACCGACCCTTGCAAAAGTCGCTTAACAACAAGTACGTCGCCGAGCTACTATGCTACATTTGTCATTAGCACCCTCTAATCCGTGATGTTCAAAAATGTACATTAAGTGGATTTCATGTAGAATGACCCGAATATTTAAAGGTAGTGTATAACGTTTTCTGGTCGTGAGGCCTTGAGCAGCCAATAGTGCCTTATGGTAAAAAGAGGCCTGATCACTTTTCTGTGTTTTATAGAACTGATGATAAAACGTTGAGCTCAACACGCACTTCATCATTAGAACCATCATTCAATATAAGCAGCTACACATATTGTAGGATTCCGTTGCAGTTGTCAAGATGATCAGAAAAGGACTGGATTTAACCGTTAAATTCCTTCGGACACTAACGTACAATTTTCTAGTTTATCTATTTTTCTAAATTAAGTTACTAGATATATCAAAAATTAAATAAAGCGATGAGTATACTATTATATTAATAGATATTTTTCCTGGACTCTGAAAAAAAGAAACGAATGTGCTTAAGGTCAATGTATGTACGTGACTTTCTTCATACCACCATATCTTTTAAAAGACCTAACATATACGAGTGTATAGTATAGTATAGAGTATCAATAATTTGTTTGTATGGACAATATTGGGTAAACGATCCCGTCGTGAAAATTTTTTCACCTGCGGAATGCTACTTTCATCATTATTAGACTACAAAAAATGTTAACTCGCAAGATATTTCTAAATCTTATGAAACATGTAAAAGTAGTGATTAATCAATTGAATCTCCACTGCAATAAGGAGACAGGGGAGCGTAGGTGATCCGCAGCCATTCGCCCACCACTCCTTGTATAGGCAAGACAAGACGGGCCTTGCGCCACCCACGCCTGAACTCATTACAATACAGCTGGCGATCTAGGTAATATAGTAGGTATTGGGTTGGCACAAAAGTAATGAGACACACTAGAAAAATCTATAACATTTCCTTTTTAAAATCAATTTTTTCGATAATATTCTAGAATGTTGTAGAACATTCTAGGTACTTCTGGTGTAGGATATATAAAGCCGCGCTCGCGATTTGTTTAGTCAGTTTGAAGAAAAATGGACGAGCGACAAGTTCGAACACTATACTTATACGAGTACTTGTTAGGCCATAGTGCGCGGGCTGCGGCTGACAATATCAACAATGTATTAGGCGCTGGAAGTACAAGCCATGCGACGGTGTCCCGATGGTTTGACCGTTTTAAATCAGGAGACAGGAGCCTTGAAAGTCAGCCACGCTCAGGGCGACCACCCGCAGTGAATGATGAAGATTTGCGTCGCGAACTGCAGTTGAATCCGGATGCTACCACTCGTGAATTAGCGGAAGCACTTAAATGCAGTCACCACGCCGTGGAACACCATCTGCATGAGCTTGGTTATCGAAAAGTTTTGGCTCGGTGGGTACCGCACATCCTTACAGAGGCCAGTCGTGCAGTCCGTGTCGCTATCTGTCAGTCACTTTTGCTGCGACCCCCGACGTAAAGAGTTTTTGTCAGATCTGGTTACTGGAGATGAATCATGGATTTATTACGAGAACGATACACGTCGTGCTTTTTGGCTGCCTCGAGAAGAAACGCCACCAACTCAACCGAAGCCGAGTCAAAAGAACCGCCGAAAAATTCTGCTTTGCTGTTTCTGGGATGCGCAAGGCATACTGTTTTATGAGCTATTACACAATGAAACTATAAACGCTGACAAATATTCAACCCAGCTTACCAAATTATCTGCCGCTATCAAGAAAAAACGACGAAGACGAGTCAATGTAGTTTTACTGCACGATAACGCTCGACCTCACGTCGCATCTGTGGTTCGCCGGCAGTTGGAGAACTTGGGCTGGGAGACGATACCCCACCCACCTTATTCCCCAGACCTCGCCCCATCAGACTATCATTTGTTTAGAGCCCTGAAACAGCATTTGCGGGGTAAACAATTTAATGATTTCTCTGACGTAGAGGCGGAATTGAACAACTTTTTCGAGGCACAGCCATCAGAGTTCTGGGCAAAAGGCATCCAAACTTTGCCGGATCGTTGGCAAGAAGTCTTAGATACTAATGATAATTACATCATTGACTAAACTTTTTTTATTGTAATAATATTAAAAAAGTAAAAACTTAAACCAAGTGTCTCATTACTTTTGTGCCAACCCGATATAATAATAAAATATTAGTATAAAGTAATTTTACCTAAACTTCGTTCTTTCTTTGGTCACCGGTCGGCAAGTAATTTAGTCTAAATAGACAACCTATGAGCCGCATGCGGCATCATTTACAAAAATAATTATTTTTCTGTTAATTCAGAGTTGAATATTTTATATAAATATCAAACAGTAATATTGAAATTCGGTCTTTCAGTAGCTCTTTAAAAACAGTGAAATTGTAGCTTTTGGGTCTTCCGTCTCATGAAAGATTGCCGATCCCTCTCTAGGTCAACACACAGAACGAGGGAGAAATTAGACATGACAAATTTGAGAGCTACTTTTAAAAATAAGTAATACTTATGTACTTTATAGTAATAAATAAAAATAATACTTTTGACCTTAAGGTAAAAACTTGTGTAAGTGATGTATGCTGATTCAGAGTAAGTATTACTCAATCAAACCAGTGATCAAACATTCCTATTTGTCTAGCTAAACTATCAATGAAGCTAATTTCCACTCATACAAGTTACTCTTAAAGACATCTAGTGGCAATCTTAGAAACTCGTACGTTCTGTAGCACATATTTGACGTAAGTCCACGACATCTAACGGTGGTTCTTGATTTTATGTTCATGTAGTTAAAGCGTAGCAATCTACGAGTTAAAAAACAGCACTGCGTTTATTAGACGTAGCGTGAAAGTGACAGTTAATAAAGAAACAGTGACAGCAGTAATAAAAGCAAGTAAGGATAATGCCATCTATGTTTTTATGTATAAAACATTAACTTGAATATATAAACTTTTTACATTTAAGAAAGAGGGCACTAGTAATTTGAAAATGTCGATATTGGAATTGTGCGCGAGACGACTCACTCTGTCGCACTGCGCAATCAACAAGCACGGAAATAATAAACAGCTGTTCTACAATATTCGGTCGGGCAACTCTGCCTGCCATCAAGCAGCAGTAAGCAGCCGTATGATTGTGATCACACCAGCCGTTTTCCTTGGAGTCGCGATTGTTTAGACGGTTGCTTTCTCATTGTTACAACGGTCACCGTGTAGTTCAGTCAATTCTTTTATTTTTTTTATCGTATATTACTGCCACGGGTTACGGTATTGACGTAAAAAGTGAGTGAATGACTGTGAGCTACGTCGGTGCTATGTTTACCAAAATTCGTCGTTGTTATTCTGACTAAGTTGAAATGTTTCGTGAATACGTGGACCACGAAGAGATTTCCGCTGTGTTATGTCTATAGAATCTCATAGAAATAGTGATTTTAGTTTTATTGTAGGTTAATTATTAGTTGACAATGTCTAGCACAGTTCCAACCAGTTCTGCACTGAGGGCTTTGGCCCTAGAGTACAAAAGTCTCCAGGAGGAGCCTGTGGAAGGTTTTAGAGTGAAATTATTAGGTGAAGACAATTTGTTTGAATGGGAAGTTGCTATCTTTGGCCCCCCAGACACTTTGTATCAAGGAGGATACTTCAAGGTTAGTTCATAAAGAAGAGATAATGACCTGATTTATTGAATTTTTTCAATAACAAAAATTATTGCATTCACTGACTTTGATATTTGCTGTAGTAAAAACTATGACAATAGCGTTTTTTGCCATATTGACCCAATCCTAAAGTCAATTCATGTAATGTAATTTTTTCTATAAAAATACAATGTGGGAGACATTCAAACACTCAAGGGTAAATGTTCTACTTTGCTTATGCACAATTCTAGATTTTGAACAGTATAGTATAAAATAAAAAGAAGCATGACAATGTTTATTTTAAGTTAATGCTTTAACAATATTAGTAATGAAAATGTACCCTCAGAAAAAAGAAACAATTTTAGATCAGCATTGAAGTGCTAATGTTCATTTATTACTTGATAAAAATATAATATGCTGTACATAACGTTCTATCCATTTATTCTCCTGCTAAAAATTTTTAGGAGGTTCGATTCCAAAATATGTTTTCTTTGTCTCATCCAATTATACATAACCTTATTAAATTAGCCTAAGTCTACCAGGATTAAACAAACTTGTATAATAAGGGTTACAATATAATGTGTTAAAATCTTGACTCATGAAATAGATGAGTCATATACATTTTTGGAATTTCTCTACCTCACTCAATTATCTCAGCAGGTCTTCTGTGTTTTCTATTATATATTAATTTTGATTGGGTTAACATTGGATATTAGAGAATTTTAAGTATTGTTCTGCTAAGTCCATCAAACTATTATCCAAACCTCGATTAAAGTAAGGTTCCCAAAAAAGTTTTTGTTATTTTGTTAAAGAACTAAGATTTTAGGAAGGTAGAATTATTACTTGTATGCATTAACATGACACTAAAAGGCCTATTTTATTTCTCCAAAAACTAAATCTTGCATATCTTTAAAATGCTAATATGACTCCAAAGAAATGCATCTTTTGATAATTCATGATGCAACAAAGGAAGAACTTGACACTGCCCCTGATGATATTTTAACTTTAGCATCTGTATCTTAGACAGCAGCGATTATAAAAAAAAACTGTCAAATTTCTCTAATTGATTTTAAACCTTAATTCATTTTAGTAGAGTTTAAAATCAATTGAGGAAAGTGACATGTTTTGATAGCCTGATATGTAGCCATGCATTATAAGGTTTTGGGGTGAATAAATGAAAATGAATCTGAACTTATCAAAGTGAACTCGAGCTTCAATACTTTGTTTCAATACAATGTTGAGTGCATTTAGATTTAAACTAATGTCCACCAAACCGAAGCCAATGATGCACAGTTACTCTAATGGGCATGCATGCCAAATATGAACAGTTTTTAAAGGGTGGTCCGTTGCAATCCATTTAGTTATTATATACCATCCTTTTAGTAATGAACAGTTGAATAAATATACTATCTACTATGTATTCAACAGTTCTACAAGGCCCTCCATTCTAATAATCTTATTAATATAATGGCACATCATGGATATTGAAATGCATTGAAGGCACAATGCCAAATATTATTAGTGCAATAGTGTCTTGACAGAAAAATGGTGGCAAATTATTCTGAGATATAGTAAAAATGTGTCAAAACAGCTTCAAACCTTTTGAAAAACAGACTCTTTACTAGAATTCTAAAATTAAACAAAACTTAGTTTTATAGGTTATTAATAATGATAATGAATTATACCCATACATATTTCAATTAAACTCTAACCCTAATATATGCTCTTTTATAGAAACTCTTTAAAAAGGATGTATGTAAACATATAATTTTGTAAATGGTATTTGGTAAAGTACCAGCATATAAAAATTGGTTTTATAAAACCCTGGGTTGCCAACACAGAAACAACTACAATTTGTTTTTTTATTTTTTTCATATACAATATATACAAAAAGCCACCTTTTTTAAATGTAAATTTTCAACTTGAAATTTTTGTTTGTTTCAGGCACATATGAAATTTCCTCCTGATTATCCATATTCACCACCCTCCATTAGATTTTTAACAAAAGTATGGCATCCAAATGTATATGAGGTAAGTTCCTTTTTATTAATTTAAAAAAGAATATGGTTCAGTCCAGTCAATATCATAATGCATGGCAATTCATAGTCAGATCAAAGTATTACTAGTGAATAATCAATTTACAATAATTAGTTACCAACGTTTTGGAACAAACACAGTACTGTTTGGTTTTACTTTTAATTACAAATATCCTTGACCTGTTGATAAACAATAATTGAAAGTTCAACTTATACTTAGGGCTGACAACTGTCGAAGTTTGAAGGGCGTCCAAGTAGTGTTCGGACAAGTTTTTGACACTGTTGGGGTTGAAAAATTCAGATACTACACTAGTTGCCGTTACACAATATCTGTTAATGTTGTGCTCAAGGAGAGCAATGAACATATATGTATTTTGGGCCTTAATTCCGGATTTTTCAAGCTCCATGTCCAAGCTTTCCTTACTTTAAACTACTGACCCTATTTTATTTTGTGTGACCCATAATCTTTTCCGTGATCATTTGAGTTTATCAGTAATTGTGAACTCCAGTGTCCGCTGGTAACTAAGATGATGACTGATATTTTTATTATCATGCTAATGTTAACGTACCTATGTTAAAATATCAAAATAGCAGCTGATAAATTAAAAGAAACAATTAAAGTAGGTATTCCAGTTATTTCTGAAATTTCTGTATTCTAAAAAACCTATTTGGTGCTAATATGGTAGATAAGAATTTTCACTGTGACGTCATGATGATATAAACCATAAATATTAAATATATACAATCTGTTCCTAGGGCAGACGAAAAACGGATAATGACCGAAAGTTTTCGAACAGTTGATAATAAACGATACGTATCGCTATCCATAGAACTGTATTGTTGCCGCGGGGTACTATCAATGGTTGGACGAAGTGCGGTCAGAGCTGTATAGCGTCCTATTCAACAAAATGCAATATTTCGCGGAAACGATACAAAGTTCTATGAAAAGCGATACTTATGGTTGTCATTCAACGCTCACGTAAAACTATTGGTTGTTAATTTTTTGGGTTCCGTACCCAAAGGGTAAAACGGGAATCCTATTACTAACACTTCGCTGTCCGTCTGTCACCAGGCTGTATCTCAAGAACCGTCATAGTTGTTAGACAGATGAAATCTTCACAGTTAATATATTTCTGTTGTCGCTATAACAACAAACACTCAAAACTAGAATAAAATAAATATTTAAGGGGGCTCTCATACAACAAACGTGTGTTTTTTTACTCGTTTTCGATACGGAAACCTTCGTGCGCGAGTCCGTCTCTCACTTGACTGGTTTTTTTTCTCCTACCTTACAAATAAACTATATCAAGAAAGAAAAACTAAATATGTTAATAAATTAGATAAACATAAAAACAATACCTTTATCAAAGAATTATTTATAACAAAAAATCTTCCTGTAACAGAATTCACTTGATTAAATGACGTTAATCACATTTATAAAAATATTTTTTCTCTGCCATTTTCATTGAATAATATTTTTTTTTTTTTGAGTTTAGACCCAGTTGCACAAACGACTATTAAGGTTTAATGACGACTTTAAACTGTAATGAATGTTCTAAATTTGTACCGGTAATGTCGCTTTAAGTATGACAAGTTTAATGAACGTTTGATTTTCGTGTATTTCTTTAATTTCCATTCCACAATACAATATATACAATAACAAATACCTACACAATAACAAATATTTACAATAAGTAGATGTTGAAATGGGCGCACTTATGTTGCAAGGCTTTTTTTAAAGAACTGGTCGGTAACATATACAAAACTAGATTTAATACTAGTTTACTTAGGTTTTTATGAACTGGATTAGAGATGCGCCGAATATAAGTTTGGTATTCGATATTCGGCATCTTTTTCACTATTCATATTCGGTTTTGGTGCTAAATATATTCGTCTCGAGTATTTCTGTTATGTTACATTAAAAGTCAAAGAAATCCCATGAAGAATCTGTTTAATAAAATAAAGTAATGTAGCTTCAAATAAAAAATATTTATTGTATAAACTAGTCGCTATAAAAATATAACAAAGATCAGAAATAAAAGATAAGCAAAAATAAATGTATACATATTTTATAATTATTATAATTAATTAATGGTAATTATTAAGCAGAAACACCAAGCTCCGGGTCGAATACGAGCAGGTTATACTATATGTCCTACGGTGATGATTTTTTTATGTATGTTTACCGATTTTTTTAATCCGCGAATAAGGATGCCGACAATTTTTTTTTCATAATCATTTAATTTATGACGATACATTGTTTTAAAATGTCACATAGCTGCTATCTAAACTACTTCTTGTTAAATTGAAGTAAACGTATTTCATATTTGTCAATTATCTGACTGACTAAGTAGAATTTCCTTTTTTTAACCTGTCGTCTTTATTTTATCCCTATTGTTGACCAATTTTTGAAATTCTTTTTTTATTCGAGCTCGATGGACCCAAGTGGTCCTATTTATATTTTATCGAAATTAAATCAGCAAATTTTCTTTTATAGCATAAATAAATATGCCTTTCATCAGATATTTGCTAAATATTACAATGATATGTTTATATCGGCGAAAAAAAGAAACAAAATATTGCGTATTTTTTATGTTTAACGGGCATGTATCTTATTTTCTCAAAGTAGATATGTTCATCGATTTCTTCTTGAATTGTGAACCAATTTCTATCAAATTAGTCGAGACTAACTGACCCGTTATATTGTAGCTTCCCGTAGGTAAATCAAAAATTAATCGGTCCAATAGTTTCGGAGCTTCTCCAAAACAAACAAACAAGCACAAAAATCTTTCCCCTTTATAATATGAGTATAGATTAGTTTGGTTTTCAAAAGTTTATTTAGTCTTTACATTATTTATCAATAAAAATTAGAAAATCATATCGGCTAAATGGTGACCGCGATTCGCTATACAATATGGAATCGTTTTTCACGAAGACTAATCTCCAAATTTAACAGCACCACCAAACTTTTTGTTATGGGGTTTTTAAAATCAAAAGTTAAATCAAAATACTATTCGGTATTTGGTTATTCGGTGAATCTACTATTGGGCGCGTCTCTAATCTGTCTATTTTTTTTTCAATTTGTAATAAGAGACTCGTGACATAATTGTTGCTATTGCTTTTAGATCCTATAAGCTATGTGGGAAACCCGTAAACAATAGCAATTGTTGAACACTTTAAAGTTTTCTTTACTGCAGTCTTTTATAAAATGAAGACTAACTTTAGTACCGGGTTTAAACCATCATCCGACCAAAATAAGTCAACACTTCCAACTTTTCTCCTTCTGTCATTGGTAATAGGGATGATGACTAATTTTTACCCGACTGCACGACGCATAGAAGGGTAATGTGTTTATCAGTCAATGTATGTATGTATGTTTCTATGCGGCGTTCTAGAGACCAAATGCGTAGACCGATTTTGATGATTCTTGCGGCAATCGATTCGTCTTACCTTACCTTGCGAGTGTCACTAAAGTCTTGACAGTAATCAAAATTCACCACAGCGACAACCAGACGTCATATTGTCAAAATGAAAAAAAAAAGGATGATCTATGTCAAGTGGGGTGTCGTTGAATAGGTATTTTAAAATCATCTTTAGGTTGTATCAATCAAATCAATGGAGGTTTTTTGAAAATATATTGGTGACGATATAACTCAACATTTTTGTTCTAAACGACATAAAAAACCCGTATTTCATTATTTGTCGTAAAGATTAACATCTCAAATTTGGAGAGTGGTTTTAATTGCTTCCTGTATAACGATTTAAAGTTGTTTAACAAAACAATCATTCTCGCTAATTTTCTTAATTATTGAGTTTATATTTAAAGTATAAACGATAAACAAACAAAAAAAAAGCATGAAGAACAAATATTTAAAATATTACCTATGGTCTTGTTAACGGAGCAATGGGTGTTATAAGGGCAATTGAGTGGCCAGCTCTTTGGAGGGACCAATTGGAACCGGGAGAATTGCCACAGGCTGTTTATATGTATAGAATTTGACGACAAAGAAATAAAAAACAATGTTCCTGGAGTAGGAGTCAGAATCGAACCATCGACGACAGATTTCGATGCACTTCGCGGACAGGGTAAAATAGAGCGAAAAATGTTGCCATTGATATTGTACTGGGGTGTAACTGTACACAAACTCTAAGGAACTACTTTGGACCGAGCTGTGGTTGACTAGTTCACGCATTTTTGCTAAAGGTCAAGCATATGTAGCTTTGAGCCGAGTTAGGTCTCCAGAGGGACTAAACATCAGTAGTTTAGACCACCGCAAGTTACTTAATAATCCCCACGATATTAACTCCCTCAATGAAATGACTAGATTGCGAAATTTACCATCTTATAACGAAGTCAACGAATCGTAACTAAAAAGTTTAAAATAAAAATAAAAAATTTAAAGAAAAACAAAAAACGTAACTGCGTAAAAACTAATTTAAAAAAATACATGAAGAAATTCCCATTCAAATCTTCCCAAAGGGCCCCGACTATGAGTCGTTCTGTTCTGCATTAGAATTTATGATTTGTTTTATGTGTATATCGATTCTAAAGCTATTTCAATTGTGTAGTTATTTAGTATTACTTAACAGAATTCTAAACTACTGGGCTTGTTTCTTTCTTTTTAGTTTTTATTTAAGTTAATTTTCATGTATTTTTTAAAATTCGTTTTTATACAATCGGGTTTTTTGTTTTTCTTTAAATTATTTATTGACTGTCTGTCCATCAGGTTGATTATTGAAGAAAAATAAATACTTAAACCAAGCATTTTTTTTATTTAACACCAATAAATTCACACCTTTATATATTTTGTACATAGTAGTAACGTAGCTAGGGTTGCCAACATTTCATCACCAAAATATAAAACGAACATAAACTAAAACAAATGTGTTAGGATCAGTGATGTAGCCTTGGACCCCTCCAAAAATGTCCTTGTATTAAAATTACTTGGGGGGGGGGGGACAACAAATGACGGTTAAGATTACGGCTGATGCGGC